AAGTCTCTTGTATTTGCTTTATAAAGCGAAAATTGGGATGTATCTTAACTGAAATGAGTCATTAGCTCTTCACAAAAGATAACGCAATTCACATCATCACGCGTTATTATCTAACAAAGCTATTGAACTGACAATTATTTTCAATTGGTATGCACCATCACTTTATTCAATCGAAGAGATAAATCAACTACATGAAAATAACTTATAGTTGAAAGTTTCATTGCTTTGTTGCTCGTATTAGTGATAATAACAGAACTATCTGTAAGTTTGCTCTCCCCACAAGGTTAAAAGTAAGACGTGTATATCGTGAAAACGTTTCATTGAGATTGTTTCAAACATATTTTCATTTATGCAAAGGTAAGTGTAAACTTAATCCTAACTGTCAGGGGGTTTATATAAATTACGTCGTGAGTATCACAAACGTCAGCAAAGAATGTCTTTATCACGCCTAAGCACCTCTGGTACCTTTAAGTTTACTAAAAACTGTAACAATAATAATAATAATAATAATAATAATAATAACACAAAAAGACGAAACAAAAAGAAACTTTCCCTTGGAAATCATATAAGCTGCTCTCAAAATTGCACTATTATCACTACCAAACACGCCCCGTTCGCCATTATTGAACTGCTTGTATATGAAAGTCCCCTGTATTCACCCCTTGGCTTCCCTTTTCCCCATTAGCAAATACCCTTTTCCCCATTTGCAAATAGTCAGCGTTCTTCCACTCACCCAGCTCCAATTGCCGGCCTGTTTTTGTTAAACCAATACTCCATTTATTGTCATAATTTGTAGTATTTCGCCTTTGAATCTCATCATTGATGAAATTCCATTCCTCCTCGGTTTCAATGGAAACTAGGTCCCCTCCCAGCCTTTGTTCCAGAGCCAGGACCATCCATATACCGAAATTATGTACCAGAAGTTTTTAAAAGTAATATTTAGGCATTCTACAAAATGATACAAAAGTATTAATTATCACAACGATGATAAACAAACTGATAGTGATGATAATTTTGATAATATAAAAAGATTATAATCACAATCACAGTAAAGGAGAAAAATAAATGACATAGGAAACGTAACTTCCTCTCTATTTGATTCCTTTTTTTTAATATTATGTTTGATCAGTGTCAATTAATGGAATACATCTTTCTTCACTACGGAGTCCGCCATCTCTGATCTGCTTTTCTTAATTAGTTAACTTCACATGAGCTAAGATTATCTATGAGTTCATGTAATTTTGGTAGTTAAGTTTTTTAATAATAAATTAGTTCCTCGCTTAGCTGGCACACCTTCCCCATCCCGTCCCCTAGTAATAATAATAATAATAATAATAATAATAATAATAATAATAATAGGAATTACACCTTTAGCCGGGGTAAACCCGCCAGCAATTGCTGATATCAAAAGGTGCCCAATTCCTCCCCTCCCATCTAATCAGACCTAAAAAAACGTAAAATTAAATGTGAATGTAAGATCTCATAAAATTAATGTACAACTGGAGACACGCAATTAACCGTATATAGTTGTTACGGGAAAGGTGGTTGTAAAAAAGAGCAAAAATTTTAAAGCACACGCTACAATCTCAAAAGATTATCTGGGTAATGGTACTCGATATGGACATAAAAATTAAAGATAAACTAATTAGGGTTGGCTGGTTTTTTCTTTTCGATTTCCACGCAGTTTAGAAGTTATAGTCAGCCTTGTAAATTAAATAGGTTGATCAAACATGTGATGTCTCCTCCTTAAAGTGACATTTTCCTAGATTTCCCTGAATTCCTGAGGTCAAGTCTAACCATGACCTAAAGGCTACCCGTAATACCTTTCGGGGTTATCGCTTGCACTTCCGACACGCTTTTTCTGACAACTTTTCTCGAAAGAACTGTATTTATTGTTTGTTTCGGGCAAGGTATCGCTCGCACAAGTCTCCGACTACATCCCTAGCTACGTTGTCAGTTTGTTTTAAATAAATACACTTCGTTTTGCCGGCTGTGCAGTATTTTTAAGCAAATAATTTAAAAGCAAATCAAGCCGATTTATTACCCATCAATCCTCAGTTTCTCTATCTCAATCCAATTTGGTTGTAAGCTTAAACATTGGTTTTGGAATAAATTTTGGTAGCAAATATGCCATTAAATGGGTTTACATCAAAACCTTTACTAGAGGTAACTCCGAAAGTAAATAATGAGGTATTTGTTTATAATTGAATTCATTAATGAAAGTTTCATTCATTTTATATTTGAATTATCACATTTTCAGGCCTTATTTTCACTACTACTTAATTAGCGTTCAAAACTGCGAGGGTCGCTTCTTATTCCTTTCTTCGACCGCAGTGCATAAATATGGTTTCCATATATTTACAGTCATGTAATAATGCTGATGATGGACATGAGAAAGTATTTCTTATACAATTAATTTTAAGAACAAACGAGGGACATCAAAACCCTCTACTTTACTGAAGCAAAACTTAGAATTAGGCTTCGTTTTAAAAGTGGAAATTTGTGAGATTAGGGTAGTAGCACGGTTATTCTTTGACTTTTTTGTTTTGTTCTCCAACTTACGTAATTCCAACAGGATGTCTATGACTAATTATTGGCATAATCAGTCAGATGTTATCCTGTTTTTCCCGTTCAGGTGCATAAACTTTAAAATTGGAATTACACTGCCTAACCTGCTCTTGGCAAATTCATCAACAAATAAAGGATGACTGTAGAAGACAAAATGAGGAAAGAAATTGATTGTTATCTCAAGAATACCATTTGAAACAATGAAAAAGTTTAGTAGATTTCGAGTTAGATGGTGCTGATACATTATATTTGCCACATGCCCTTTGATATCTACCCATGAATTCTGTTACTTCTCTAGAGAGCAGACGGGGAAATTTAAAAAAAAAATACCGCATCTCCGCAATTTACCAACCAGCTGAACAAAACTTGTTACATGTGGGAGATATTTTTAAGGATACGGTAGACCTACGCGAATGTCCTTCGGAATATTCTTTAAACGGGTTATTCGGAATGCAACCAAATTAAAAAAGAGTGAAAAGGATGTAAACTGCGCTATCCAGAAGAAAAAAAACTGTTTCGTCTTAGCTTGCAACAATTCGAAACGGACGACGGCTGTTTCTCTAAGCGAAAGAATCGGGTATCAAATCTGACTGCTCAAATAAAACTTCTGCACGATTTGATTCTTGAGGAGTTGGTCTCCAAAATTTCGTGAGGAAAATTCCTTATTCCTGGTTGTTACTAAACTATGAATCAGTAGACCACGGAAGCTGCGGAACCCATGAGATTTTTTTGTATATTTTTTTTGTAAAAGAAAAGCAATGAGATAAGTGTAAAATTTTCTTTCGGGTAAAAGGAAGAATAATTTAAAAGAGAAATATGTTTTAATTGTCCATGACGTCCAAGTTAGCGAGCAGTCAGCAGTCATCTACGCTGAGTGTTAATAAGTGAACAATAATTTGAAAGCTAAAACGGTTTGGGTTCCACCTCATCCGGAGGCTCTCAGGGAACCTTTAGGCTGGAACACATCGTACATGACCCTGGAAAGGGGAACACCAGGCGTTAAGTAACATCATCGCCAGTGATACTCGTAGAGAATCGTAGTCTATTAAGCATGACTAATAAGAGGACTTCATTGAAAGCCAACGACAAAATTTTTTAAATTAAGCTCACATGGCGTCTTAACTTGCGACGAGAAAGGAAATAGCACACCAATTCAACCATTTTTTCCCAAATCCCGGATCGAATGTTAAACTTCGTATCCGTCTAACTTAATGCCATTTTAAGTAGACCCTGATTCGATTTCTTGTCTAAGCACGTCGAACGTTCAACAGCTATCTGAAGAGGAGACGTGTTTTCCGTTTTGACATCTTGTCATAGTGGCATAAAACGATAGCAATTAAGCTATCATAAATATGGGTGCCAAAGCTGTTGTGTAGACACGACGACACGACGCAAACACGACACGACACGACACAACACGACGCAAACAACGTGACCACCGCATGAATGTCTTGCTTGTGCTATTTGCTTTCTGATTTCTTCGCCCGGTATGAAGGGCTTCAGGAATCCAATTTATAAGAGATCCTTCTCTAATTAAAAAAAAAATTTCTGGTGGCGGTTATTTGGCACTCTTAATTAAAACAAAACACCAGACTCTAAAGATGCCTACATAGAAACCTCTAGTTAATAATTAGAGAAGGATCTCTCAGCTTTTTCCCTTTAAATTGTATACTCTATGTAAAAGTTCTTTAGTCTTTGTTTAATGATGTGTGCTAAATAGTTTATAATCTCTTAGTTTATGCCATTTCCGGCTAACATTTTCCCAATTGTATTTTCGATACTCGTTATCTTAGGAATGCGAAAAACAAATGGAAAAATGTAACTGATCCGCAAACGATCCAGTCGTGAGGGGTTTTTCCTGTTCTTTTAAATTAGTTGTTTATTTATTCAAATATTTACGCATTCATCTATTTATTCATTAAGCAAACGGAAAGAACACTTTTTTCAAGCAAACCCTTCTACTTTATTAAACAACTTGTAAAATTCTTGATGAGGAACGGTTCCAAAAGGAAGTATAGCATTTCTCCTTAGAAAAATTCCGAAAAGCTTACAACACAACTATATTGGTAATGTTACATCATCGCTATGTAACCTGATAAAATGCACCAGAAAGTTCTCTGGTATGCATTTCCGCATGACTAGACATTCTCGAAATTTCTAGAAACTTATAGTTTCAGTTATTTTCACAGCTTATTGTTACAAGTAATGACAGTGTTTAGTAAGAGGAAACATCGCATATGAGATAATCATGTAGCAAAGCAGAAAGTTAGCGCGCAATAATCTAAAGATAAATATGTTCAATGAAAGCTACGCACTAGAGTACTTTTTAAAGAAAGAAGTGTCGTGATCTCTTGGTGTAAATTCCCGCCTCTTCTGTAGCAGACTGTGGTCTCATTCGCAGGGCAGTCATCAACATAGTGAGCCATTATAAATTTAAATTTATAGATTGGTTTATTTCGATAAATGTTTCCTGCAAATATGCGATCGCCTAGAAAATAATCTCATAATCATAAAGAAGAGGTTACATTTACAGCTAGTTGAGTGCTTAAACAATAATGGTAAGAAAGATCTCTTTTTACCTGCAGATCGCAAGTCAGATAGATCCTTACCGACCTATTGCTGTTAACTAAGTGATTTTACTGAGTAATTGACCATCATTTCCGGTCGGCCGGATCCAGTTAATTAAGTTAAGTGCGATTTCGATTCAAATTCAGCACGACTGCAATTCAACTGCCCATTCATCCCCAGCCTCACTTGGATTGACCTGTGAGCTCTTCCTTGTAGAGTTGTTCTTTACAGAGGATGGAAAAACGATATTCATCTTTCTTTTGAAACGCTCTCTGATCTGCAGATAGACGAGCAACACGAAATACGGTTCTTAGCACTAGTAGTCGGATATCTATCGAACACTAAAGACTGATGATATGGAGTTAATAAACTTTTTCATGTTTTTTCTTACCTGAGTGTTTCGCATGCTATGTAGAGCGAAAATTAGGAAACCCTGCAGCATAAAAATGATTTTAGGATCACTAATTTTTACAATATGCAAACAAATTAGTCAAATACCTATTAGGATTTCCAGGAAGGAAAGAAAATGTCATATCTTATGATTAAAAAAGAAGTCTGTCTTTTTCTGCATAATTAATGGCATTTTTGTTTTCAAAATTCCAAAAAATATCTTGTGACAATTGTAATGGTGTCTCACTTGGTTAGAATGTCAAATAATGATAGAGATTGAATAATTTCGAGAGTTACCATCGAACACTGACCTGAGAAGAGTTAAGTATGGTGAAGATGTAAACGAATGCTTTATGTACAGGCGAGAGGAGACCAAATAGCCACGTGACGCCCAGCAGGGGAATCATCACCACGCATGCTTTAATGCCAATTCTACGAATTAAAAAGAAAACATTTCTTTATTTTCCTTTGACAATGAATTTTCTGTTTTAGGTATCGTAAGACATTACTAATTAGGAAATGAGGAAGTTAGGCGAATAGGGCCTCGTAGGAGGGCAGGCCGAGTACTTGCACTATTTTGCTTTAGTTTTAGGCTGTGAATCTTACCGTATTTGATGGGAATGGTCGTCTTCTCCTGTTGGCTGCAACAAGTTGGTCATCTCCTCTATCACTCGTGCGAGTATCAAGATGTTGAGCTGAAAAATTCAATAGAAATAAATGTATTATTTGGATATGGTTATCGAATAGCCAAAGCAGGAGAGGATCCTTGCCAAAGACGTTATTAGCTTGGTAACAAACGTGGGATGAAGTGTAATTTACAGGGAATAGAACTCCCAACCGGGGGACCTAGATTATGAGCTTTAATTCTCTTAAAATGAGCAAAAGAAATCGTGAACTAAAGTGTCTGAATGATCTATGTAAAGTTAATCCTCATGTTAAATTACATAAATTTAATATCTCCTGCTTCCTGCTCCTTTAATCTTGTTCAGTGTTTTTAAGAGTTTTTTTTGCGCAAAAAACATATCTTGTTATATCAATGTGAAACAGTAAGAAAACATCAACAAGGAAGGGGAATAATTGTTTTTCTCATACCATTTAGTTAAAGTTGGAGAATTTATGAAGCTATCTTTTGCCTATGAAGACATTGTGTCAACAGGTTTTACTCGCTATTGAAGGCCATCACTAGGTCAGAATTGACCAGCATCCTCGCAAATAGCAGTTACGTCCAAAGTTTTTTTGTGAGTAAATAGGAAAAGGGGTCATATCATAAATACTTAATTCGTTTTTTAAAAACTCACAACTTCAATGAAAGCCACAAAGGCGACGAATATCCAGATCAGGTTGTTAGTCGAGGAAAGCCAGCAGCTAAACTCGAAGAAGTGAAACACAAGAAAGAAACACGAATTCTCAGCAAATTAAATGATACTGACTTCAAACTATATTCAAAAATAAAACAGAGAATCAAATGCAACAAATTAAAAGGAGAAGAGCACGAAGAAACCCTTGAATTTTTTTTTACTGTTTATCACTCGTATAGCTTTGTAACCCTTCTTTTCCAGCAGCGATGCCAAGTGACATGGCCACCATGATCAGTGGAAGACCTGCCCATAAAGAAAGGAAGGAAATGGAAACACTTCATTGCATGGCAACACCAGATTTGGCGATCCGAAAGCATGGTTACAGTTACCAGTGCATGTTTTAAATTAATAAACTCACCCCATGAGATGACGTAATACATGTACATCTTGGTGTTAATGTTGTAAACTTTCACAACGAAGAAGTAGAGATAAATTCCCTCGATCAGCATCCAACAGAAAGCAGTCATCAAGAAATACTGCATCAGAGCTGCTATTGTAATACAGGCAGCCTGTAAAAAGAAAGAGTTTCAGCGTAATTCTAATTGTGCTCCTTTCGACAAGATAATTAGGGTGCAAAGAGGAAATTGCTTCTATGGATAGAAGGAGAGGCTACTT